TCAACCCTGAAGCCACCGGACAGCAAATCCTTGTCATATATTTTAGAGCTGAAGAGGATGACTAATATTTTCCAGCTCTAACAGGGTCAGTTTTCTACTGGATTCAAGTTGGTGGCAGCTGCTGGGTGCACAATGTTGCCCTGTGTCAATGTGTGATGGAGTGCAACCACATTACGTCATGTGTATAACTCTATAACTACATCTACAATGTGACAGAATTTAATGATGATTGGAAGAGAAATGTGGGCGTTACAATAGATGCAGAGACAGCTTGACTACAGGAGGATGGTTGAGAGACTTGGAGACAGGAGAACATCCAGGCACTGCTTCATCTTCTATTCAGTAGGAGCTGGTGGAGGCTGTGGCAATTCTCTTCCCAATGTACACCCTGAGAAAAGAAAAACATCAAATCAAAGCAGTCCAGTTGAAAAACAAAATGGGGTAATGCATTGTGGAAGCAGAGAAATAAAACCATTAATCCATATCCATTGATCAGTTAAAATGAAGGTTTTACACATTATCATTAACATCCAGGCCAGCTCTCTACTACAGGGGTTTCAAAGTGAGAGGGAGGTTCAAGTTAGTGAATGCAGGTGGACTTTCTATATATTTATTTATTACATTAGTTATCAGAAGGATATCACACAGAATACCCTACATGTGTGTGATTTTGTTAAAGAGATAGTGTAGTTTTTAGGGAAAGTTAGTTTTTCCTACTTTTAATTACTAATAAATGTCTTTTTTTATGTATTTGGTGTAGTCTGAAGTTATGTCAAACAGCAATATTAGGCTATCTTGGCTCTGTTGTTGAACGTCCATGGGATCATATGACATAATCATGATCTCATAGGCATCCAGAAATAGAGCGCTGCAGGAATGAGTCCTCAAACACGGAAATGAGTTAACATTTTTGCACCCCCAGTTCTCTTGTCTTGGAGTTAATGGGTTTTCTGTTAGATGCCTGAAACTTAAACCTACTACAAGGAGTTTTTAACTGGATATCATGCCATACTGTTGCTAAAAAGTGGCTAAATGAGACTCGTTGCCTTGTTGACCTTAGACGTCATCACGCTGAACACTTAAAGTTTAGTGGTGGTGTCTGTGTGTCGTGCGACTGTGGTGTGGCTGGTTTATACCCTGTGAGCTGGCTTTTTGTTAAGGGAACCATGGCGATGCTAACTTCTGGGTTGCAGGAGAAAAAGGTTCACTCATTCAGCTGCCATATAAGCCACAGAGGTGCTGAAATGAACCATTTTCACCACTCACACTGTTTTATAATTAGGCCCACATCTGAGCAGACAGCCATCAGATACATAAATTGGAGCCATCTTGGACCCCCAAATAGCAGAGCACTGATAAATTGACAATGACACAACCTTCACTGACTCTCTCCTACAGCACAGGGTGAGTCACTAAAATGTCAAGTAAAAGACATCAGTGCAGATCCAGTAAAGGCAACTTTTTAAAGCCTTGCTTAATGTCCCTGCAAGGATTTTCCCGTATTACATTTATGAGTCATCGAATATATCTAATTTTAATTGTTAGCTGTTCAAATTTGAAAAATGTGAGGTGGCACCTGTGCAAGCTATACGCTACGAGAGGACCCTGTCTTGCCTCTTGTGCAGGAAGTCAGTAGGTGTGGCGTGTGGGGCACTTTTGACTTTCTTTATCACTCTTTCTGGCCGGATCTCTGGATTAGGGTGTTCCTATAGCTTGTAAATATGTAAATAGTTCATTTGACCTTCTCCCTCCTTCTAGATTTTTATTAAATGTTTTACTAAAACAAAGTTATTAAACTATATTCATCTATATAGAAGAAAAAAAAAACTTCCCATTTGGGAGCAATTTTTGCTTAGGGAGTTTGCGACAGGTTTGAAAGTAGAATTCGGGACACTGAGGAAAACCATTTAATGTGAAGCCCCGATAGAACTGCGTGAGATCAGACTTACCCGAGACCAAGAGCGACGATGTGTGAGATGAGTAAGGAAGGGATGAAGACTTTGAGGAATTCAGCAGAGAAGATGCCACCTTTCTTCATGACTCCACTCTTTCTCATACTGAGAGATACCGAACGTCGGGGGTGCCTGAAGTGGAACTCCCTGCGAGGAATTATCAATCAACCAATCAATGCTAAAATTATTTAAATATCCTGAAACCGTTATTAGTGAGCGATCCTGGAAGTTTGCTTACTTTGGTGGAATGTTTTCTGGTCTGCTGGACCAATCAGAGACCCAGTCTACTTCTTTATTGAGCAGGATGTCTTCCTCTCTGTCCTGCTCTGGACCTTCTTCCTCTGACTGCAATCGTGAAGGTAAAGCAATTCAGGTTTTAGGGTGAAATGAAAAGACTTGAAAAAGGGGGTTTGAACTTTTAGAGTTAAATATGCTGTTTGTTTGTTTTTTACCTGACTATCTCTTGAGCTGGGCATCTCCACATCAAACATTATCTGACCCTCATCCTGATCTGGACTCGGTGGCCTGTGAGGACTGAGTTAACATAATAGAATAGAAATGTTGTAACATCAAACACTTCGAAGAGCTTTGAAGAGCTTTACGGCGGCCTTTGTTCCTACCTATCACAGGAAGAGCTACTCGGGCTGGACTCATGCTGCGCGTCCAGGAGGATCTTCTCCATGTCCCCGTTGTGGATCGAAGAGGACGACGGCACATGCTCGAGCCCCCCAATCAGGGTCTCATCGCTCTCAGACACCACTTCCAAGGTCTGCAAAGTTTCACTCATGCCAGCATTCGCGTTTATTTGGTCTGCAGCGGGTGTCATTGGCGGGTCGGTCTGCGCGCCCTGGGCCCCTTGGTTTCCATTCAGCTCCAGCTCTACCCAAGAGCCTTTGCAACATAAAGGTCAAGAGGAGGGAGGGAAGGAAGGAAGGAAGGAAGGAAGGAAGGGAAATTGTGTTTGAGGGCAAAACCAAACAGCAGCTTGTGTACCACACAGAAAACACACCCGTCTACTTTTAAATGGAAACAGCTGACCTACATTTCCTGCACCACTGACACTGCATTCAAATGAACTGACTGTGCACTGCATCCACGATACATTTCTTTGTGCCACTGCCCCACAAACAGCTTTTTTCTTTTTTTCCAGACAGGCGGGGGTTATGTAATCTCTCACGGCCAGCGGGCATCGGTGAGCACACAATGTAAAGCTTGTGATCGCATGAGATGCAGCCCCCCCTCCCCCCCACCTCCCTCCACTCCTCTGCCCTTCGTTTTGGGGTCGCAGATAATAAACAGATTTTGTGTGTTTCGACGATGCATGACCGGGTGCACATTTCGAGCTTGTCATCTGCTGCTCTCATGAGAGGGCTTGCATAACTGTGGTGTGCAGTGTGAGAGACAGTTGGCCAGACATGTCGCTGTTCCAGCTGTGTTGTTGCCTACATACAAAGCGCACGTCCCCGTTATTTCTCATGTTTAAATCCCTAAATACGTTTTTTTTTAAATATATATACATTTGCCAGTTTTGTGTTTTAAATGTGTTTAAATGTGCATGCAGTTGAACTAACATTGTCTCATTTTTTACATTTAAATTTATTTAAAAAGGCTTAAGCATGTTGGATTTAAAAAAGGCAACTCGGCTACAAAATGCGTGCAAAATTGTTTTTTTTTTTAAAAATCGCCAATAAAAACATCTATTTCGTCTTTTGTCCCAAAACTTGTTTTCATTTTGTCTAGAGCCCGCCCAACGCCGATCTGCGTTCGTGATTGGCTGCCGTCCCATCAATCAAACATTTACCGCGACGCCATTGGCTGCCTCGGCGGTGACGTCAAACAACATCAGCCTCCGCCCCTCCCAGAAGAAGAGGAAATACCGTACCAGATGTAACTTTTACAACAAAAATCCCCATTACGCGAATATCCCCGCAAACTCTCGCTCCCGCTGATTGAAGCTAAAGTCGCCGTTGTACCGTAAGCGCGGAGAAACGGCCGGCGGTACGTACCGTGAAGCCCGGGCTCCTCGTTATTGTTCCGTTGAGCAGCAGCGGTGGACATGTTGACTACCCAGTTTCAGCATTCATCAACATGACACGCAGACAAACTGCGATGTGCGCATGCGCTGTGGCTAGCCCAAGACCAGGGACAACAGATAAAAATGCTCCAGATCAGGGATGGGCTCATGTTGGTTTTATTTCATGTTTTTATCAAGTGCAAGACTGTGGTGTTGAGTCACAGCAAGTATTAAGTGTAGTTAATGCATGTTTGTGATAGAATATGAGATGAAGAAAGAAGTTTGATTGAATTTCTGAATGAAACAAGGCACCATTACTGAAGGATGCAGGGTCTGGGTGGACTCTCTTTCTATCTGAGTCCTTGCAGGGTTTCTGATGATAGACAGGCTGGCCTCTATCGCTCACTCTGCACATAAGTGCCGCGTTGGCTGGACTTAACCATTAATGTGGGGAGGCAGGCGTATCCATTAGTGCTGTTTCCTGTTTGTAGAGGATGGGTCTACAGCAGGGGTCCTAAACTGCCGGCCCTCTCCGACTCTGACATGATGTCAAATATAAAATAAAGTCAGGCCAGCAAGATTTTTGTTTCCTATCAATTTAAGTAATTAAAATAAACACACAATTCTATTTTATAAAGCTGTTTGTGGTTGAAGGCCCCCCCAAAAAACCTCCAAATGGTTGATAAGAAAAGGTTTAGGGCTTTTAATGACATATAAATGTGTAGAAACTGCTCTTTGAATTTCTCTTGTATCTACAGTATACATAAGTGGTTTTTTAAATTAGGGTCTGGGGACCTACGGGGGTCCTTTAGTGGTTCGTAACTGCAAATAAAATAGAACATTTCAACTTTTGTCACATTTGAAAGTTGTGTCAACTTCTTAATTCATTTTGATTGATCCTAGTTTGATTTTATCTTATCTATTATTTTATCTAGGAATATATTTAAACTTTCATCCCATTTGTTGGAAGTTGGAACAACAAGGGAGGAAATAGGGTCGGCTGTTTTTATTATTATACTTTTTTTTATCATATTGTTTATGAATTCTTTTATATCTTCTTATAAATAAATAAAAAATAACTCAGTAAGGATCCATTAAACTCAAATTGGGGGTCTGTGGTCTAATGTGCATCTATTGTGGGGGTCCTTGAACAGAAACATTTTGGGAACCTCTGGTATAATCTCTCCTGCGGTTCCTCAGAATGGTCTTGAAAATGAATTGTTTGTTTTTATATTCTCCCAGTAGGAATGAGGTGGTGGGAGAGCCAGAAAACAGAATACAACGTTGGAAAATGACTTGGTATCAGTGGTATCTCTGCTCCTGAGATCTGAAGTGATTTATATAAAAGCCTTTTGTAGACAGCCATTTCAGTCGGAGCAGCGGGGTCTGGCACCACTGCGGGGATGTGAAAATATTTTGAGAGCGCTGCAGCAACTGCGCCTCGCTGGTGAAATATGCCTAAAATAAGCCTGACCATGTTTTGAAATGCCTTTGTGATTTATGAACAGTATTTTGACTTACAACAACATAAATCACATGTTGATAAAACTTGTTTATGTGATAATTTCACATTTAAAGCACATTATATTTTCCACACACACACACACACACAATAAATCAGTTTAGTCATTTTCAGAATAATTCAGGTTTGAAATTCTTTATTACTTTTCATCTAAATTGTACTTTATTCCATTTGACAAAGATAAACATAGCTGTACAATGAACCATTTGTAGTTTTCTCCCCCAAACAGATCACCAAAACTCTCCTACAATCTTTATTCAAGAGCCCCTTAAAAGAAATAAACAAAAAAAAGAAAAAAAAACATACAAATCAATGAAATTCACAAAAATAAAAAGTGCATTTTTGTTTTAACTCCTGTGATACATTAGACAATGCTGCTTCAAGTGGAAAAACCTCATAACTCCAATTTAGACAGTTTCCTTGAGAGTTCATGATCCTTTTTTTTGTAGAAGGCGAGTTACCCCCCCCAAGGTTCATGTTCAAAAAACAATTATAGCAACTTGAATTTCAAAAGTGTATGATCTACCTGTGAATAAGGCAGTTTTTAATAAAGTCCTGAAAAGCTGCTTTTTTTTTTTTTTTTTTTTTTTTTTTTTTTTGAAGGTACAAGGTTTTGATCACAGAGCAGCGGTAAATTCCCCTGAGCAGTCTCCCGTCTGGCACGCCAGAAAGTTCAAGAAACATACTTGATTATCTTATTTCTTCTTAATGCTATAAGAAAGGCATTAGGGTTCGTCTGAACGTCTTTGTGGTTTACACCATAGCCTTGAACAATAGCTATGAAGACAATATGAGGGGAACGTGGAAAACGATAATCGGTTAGTTGTTTATCTTTTAAATGAAGGTCAGTGACCGTTTTCCAATAATGCTCTGACACTCGTACAGTCTGCGATAACCGCCTCTGCTGCGTCTATTACAACATTTCTTTCTGATCTAGCACTATTTTTGAAACACATCTTCAAACCAGTTGTTAGAACAGCAGTTATTGAACAGTGAGTGAGAACATTGGTGGCTAACTGATTGAATCATCCATGACCGTGGAATGGATATACAGGTTTACACATAAATGACACGAGGCAAATAACTTGAATGACCCTCACACAGACACAATCTTGCATTACACAATGAAGAAACGTTGTTCAGAATGGTTGCAAAATAAAAACAGAGATTAGCAAAGTGTCTCATGTTACCCAGAGCCCTGAGAGAGTGACACTCAGCAGTAGCTTACCGCCGCCGTATGGAGATGGGTGGTAGTTTTGGTAGCGTCCTAGTGATCAGGGCCCTGTTCTTCAAATGTAGCTTAACTAATTGAGTCTAATGTGTTTGCTATCAGGCTAAAATAATCCTGTTTGTTCTAATCCAGATGATTTGGTTCTTGGAAAGCAGTTAGAGGATCTATTTGTTAATCCCGGATGAGTAATACCGCTCTCTTATTTTGAAATAAAGACAAATGAGTAGAGTGTTGGAATCATGATCGGCTTCCCTAAGATTGGTGTTGATCGCACGGTTGCAGGTACACGAGGTAGGTGTGTTAGGAACCCTCCCGGCACGCACTGGGACAACAGATTCATGGACTCATTTTGTTCTCCACCATGTTTCCACACTTTGATCATTGTTAACATATATGAACGTACTGCGAGTGATGTTGGTGCATAATCAGCGGAGGTTCACTCAGACGTACAAGAGACTTTTAAGAATCATAAACCTGCTATCAAGATGATACTTCACTAAAATCTCTAAAAAAAAGCAGCTGCAACTTTTAGTATAATTCAAATGATAAATTCACATTTTAATGTCAAATTAAATGCCACATCTTCTGGTTTCATTGGTGTTTTAATAACCAGAATCTTCTAGTTGAGTTTATTTCTTTGCCCATAGCATCTCTAACTAAATTCAGTTGTACAGATTTATCATGTATAAGTATCAATAACACTTCATAATGAAAACTGAGTTGTGGTCATTACGAACAGATCGTGGTAATTTTTACAATAACCTGCATGTTTTCATCTAAAATTATATTTGTATAAGAACACTATTAGAAATCTAAGAAAGTGAGCCATTTGTATCTTTAGTTCATGTATGGGGTTCACCGTAAAACCTCTCGGTCATGATCCAGTTAACTGTCAAAAAGCTGCTCTTTAACAGGTTTGAGCTTAAGGACTTGTTGCTCTGACAGCAGCTCCAGATTCATTTTAAACCAGCTTCCACGTACGAAGAACGGGGCCCAGTTCTCTACGGCAGGAGTGACACATTAACTTACATAACTATGATCCAGTGGACCAATAAGCTTCATGCCCTGATTAAATGGCTTAATCTGTCATCAACACGTAATGAAGTGGAAAACTGCCATAAATCAACCTGTTTGCTTCCAAAGAGAACTGGCAGCATGTGACTGACGCATAGTGTAGCAGAGAAACAGCAGAGTTAATTTCTTGAAGTATTCTTCCCATGTTCCATACAGTCATCGGCAAACCAAGTGCTTCACAAATTCTCCTTTTTCAATAAACAATCTGTATTCTCCTGCATCACAGGAGAGAGATGACATTTCATACAATAAATCAAAATCAGTAACTCTGCCTAGTCAACCGACTTGACTAGCTTTAGAGAATTTGATTTAACCTTACATGTTCATTAAAATGTCTCTCCCCGTTTAGACCCACAAGGGTCTATTCTTTCACAGCGAGCACAATTATTCATAAACAAAACCATGGCACAAAAACAGAATTTGAAGATCCAAATTGACTCTGAAGCCTCTAAATAAGTTTTACATAAACATCAGTTACAGTCAGCCAAATTAAAAAAATAAACTGTTATAGTGCTTATGACTACAGAGGTACTGACACCTGAAAATACTTTTCTTTGGACATCCCACGAGAGAAACGACACACTTCCTTGATGTCACAAAAAGTCTCTAGCTTAAAGAAATACCTGCCAGAAAATGTCCCAAAGTCATGACAAGGTTACCCCATCAGGCGACCTTCCATCTACAATCAGTCTGAGATAGACAGCTAAAGAAACTACAGTGATCAGACTGTAATCCTATTGCCTTAATTTATACAAAAATAAATCAGCTATAGTGATTATTCTTCTTTTATCGGGTACAGTACAAAACATCATTTAAAAAAAAAAAAAAAAAACTCTACAAAAAAAGAAACTAGATCAAGAGGGTAAAGCGGTCGATCAATCTGCAACAACACAACAGGCTTTGTGGGGGGAAGCTGGCAGCGGCACACCTTTTTGGTGCCGCTGACCACGGGAGAATTAGGCTACACGACGCCATCACGCCCCTTCCAACGTATATAAGCTTTTGTCCTGAGCTTCATATGGTGGGCCGGGTGCACCTTCTCTGCTACACAGCTGTAAATGAATATAACTCAGTGCAGGAGTGGTAACTTTGGCATGATCAGCCCCCATTCAACACCCGACGAATGCATGCGCGCACTATTCTTGTATGTATGTTAAAAAAGGATGACACTTTCATGTTTTAGGCCATTAGCTAGAAATTACATACATTACTGCCGACTATTTCCCTACATGTAGCCGTTTCAGTACACAATGAAAATCAACTTACAGACTTGAATCTTGCCTGAGGTAACTAATCCATCGCAGTGAGCATTTAGTCAGGAAATGCAGTGAGACTAGATTGTTTTGACTGATGCTGAACACTTAGAAGTTATTGTATCAGGATCTCTAATGCAGAAGAAAAACATTAAGAATGGATGTTGTTATGAAGACAAACTTACTTTTAGTGTCAGATGTTACGTTACGCTTAAGTTTTCCTAAGGGCTGCACCATAAATTGGATTATTATGGAAACTGCAGTATGGCCAGGTGCAATATCCAAATTGCCAGCAGCAAATTTTTTGATAAAAAGGTCAAATGTGTGAGTATAATAATGACGTGCTATAGTTCTGTGGAGACAATCACATTCACCAGAGGTAAGAAAACATGTTTGTCTGGTACAGATCCTAACAAAAACATGTAATCATGATTTTAATCATTTCTTTTCTGTGAAAATTGTGATACAAAAACGATCCGTTCCACTAATTGTGAATCATATAGCAAAATAATTTCAATATGATTTTTTTTACTGTGTCGTGCAGCCCTAGTTTTCCTGCTGTTGCAACTGCACTACAACTTGGACCTAAACAACAACAAGTTTACTGTGATGGAATACATGTTAAGTCAGTTCAAAGTAAGTTGACTTTCTTTCTGTAGAGAAATGAATGTAAACCAGTGGCTGCCTTCAAATTCGATATTTGATCTAATAAATATTGTGGACAAAGGTTAGCAGTAATGTAAATCATACACTATTTGTAGAGTATGAGCTCAAAACATGGTAAAACATCAGATTAGTCCTTTAACAGCATAATCATACTGTACATTAGGAAAGAAGGGGTGAGTGAACTTGGCAACTTGACGAATACTTGAGGGGGGCAAATATGGAGTGTTGACAGCTTGTATTAGCAGTGTCTCAGGCCAGTGCCAAAAAGGAACTTGGTGACAGAAAGACAAACAGGAGAAAGAATTTCCTATTCAAACTAATAAAACATGGTCGCTACAAAAACTTGGACAACAAATTGGAAGCTATGACATACAAATGAATCATGTCACGATGGCACAAAAGAATAATTAAACAAACTAGCCAAATATGTGCATTTAACACATTTTCCCTTTGGTTTGGGATGTAGTGGAGTTGCAAACGGTAGCTCGGTGAATGGAGTGCTCGAATGGAGAAAACCCATGACACTAAATCCCAAATTCTGGACTCAGATCTACAAATCCTGCATGTTTGTATTTAAAATACACATGGAAGTGTGCTTGTGATGGCTGCTTGGATGTACTGCGTTAATGCCACTGTTTGTTGTTGACAGAGTAAGTCTCGTCACATTTAATACTAAAATCACCAAGGGCAGATCATATCAAGACTTGGGGATTTAGCCAAAGACAGACAGATATTGTTTGTATGTGTGTATCAGAGCAATGGGGCTCAAGCAGAAACTGGGATCTGAGCGGTTCAACAAATTCTAGTTCAGTTTTTCCTGGAATATGTACAGATTGTTGGTGGTGGCCACAGCAATGATGTTGTCCATGGGATGCCAGGCAGTGTGGAGGATCTTCTTGTTAAAGTCCAAACTGTCTACACTGATCTCATCCTTTTTGCGCTTCCCACCTGTGCTTACTTTGCGAGGTTTCAGGACCGATCGCGGCTTGCTGTTCTCCCGCGACGCCTCTAGAGTTACGTCCTGCCGGTAGCCTCTGTCAAACATCCTGAAGAAGTTGTTGTAGGAGCCGGTCATCACAACGCTGCACAGAGAGAGAGAGAACGCATGAGTGAGTGACGGTAAACCACATCAGAATAATGAATCAAAAAGGCCACAAGTGCATGGTTCTGTCATGAACTACTACCAGGAGCACATGCAGAATAGCCCCCCCGCCACAAAACCCAAATCATGTGCAGCCTTACGCTCTGCACTGAGCAGATAACCTCAGTTATTGATAACGGCAGTGTTGCTTGGTTCACTTGCGTCAAATAAAAGGTCAACCCCAAACACTTGCATGCGTAATGCATCAATGTGCGGAGAACTCCAAATGCACGATAAAGAAAAAAGACGATATACAAGATATAGTATATCTATACAACACTTCAGAAGGCGTCTTTTTGCCCTGATAGTGCATTTAATATATATTCACTCACCTGTCGTTCCCATTCCAGCAGCACTCAAACTTGTCGAAGATGCAATCATTCTCATAGAGTGAACACAACTTACTCCTGAGATATTCATGCACCTGTTAAAAGAAAGTGACAGAGCGGTGTTGTAATCAACTGTTGTGCAAGAGTGAAAACAACATTTTGTTTTGACTTTTGTAAAAAAATACCTCCCTCTAGTGGTGAGACAGTAGAATTACTTCAGGGCTTGAAATACACACAAACTGATGTATTAGTTTGTATTTGTCACAGCAACGGTTACACACCTGGTATGTCTCTACTGGCCGGGACTCCATGTTGAGATCCCAGATTTTGACAGACAGGTAGTCACGGGTCATCATGTAGCGTCCACTGTGGCTGAACTTTACATCAGAGATGGATGAGATGATTTCAGAAAAGAATGAACGATTGTTTGGATCCTCTGGCTCTTCAAACACTAAAAAAAGAAGAGGATGCATGTCATTAGTATAGCCTGACATTAATGCTGCAACATCTACAGCTCTTAATAGTGCAGGGATGCACTTTTATCTGTCTGTCCCACAATTTTGGCAAACACACTTCCATATAAATATATATTTCCTAAAGCCTTCTTTCTCTAAAACTGAAAAATCTAAAAAGAGAAGGGGCAGTTTTGGAGCTCTAACCCATAAATAATGGAAGCGCAAGGAGAAACTGCAAGCAAGGCCAAGGTCTTTCTTCACTTTCTCACTCATTGTTCTTCTAGGCATACCACAGGCACCCCTCAGAATTCAAAAGGTCCCCTGCAGGCACACAGCAGAAGATAAATTGTGCTTACATTTAAAGTGCTTATCGCACAGTGCTGATGCCCTCATGTCACACAGGCGGATGGTGCCCTTGCTGCTGCTGTAGACAAAAGTGTTGCATTGGTTGGGGTGGAACTCCGCTGCTGTGATCACCTCTGTCAACTCCTCCATATTGGCTGGCTTAATGTCAACAATATCTAAAGAAGTGAGGTTAAGGCATGGCTCTGTGTTGATTTGTAGAGGTTATAAAAATGCTATAATGGAATAATTCTCTAGAAAGAAACTCCTTCCCTGTCTGTGATTTATTCAGGATGCCATCTGACAGAGGTGCTCTCAACTAGTTAGTGTCAACATAAACACTGCTTTATTTTGTGAGAGCACTTACAGTGGCAAGCAGCATTTGGCTGGCACATAATTCACTGCTCCCTAAGAGAGGGAGGACGCTCCCTTTCAGCTTTCTCAGCAAAAAGTTTAAGTCAATTTAGTATTAAAACATTTCTTTACACTGATGATTTACTGGGGTCAAACTTTTACCATTTAACTTTTTTTTAAAAAGAACTTCTAACTCTGTTAGAGCCACTATGTGTAGAAGTTCCTTACTTTGGGGACATCGGGTGGCAGTATCGAATAAGAGAGCAAAACATGTCTCTCCTCTAAAATAATAATAAAATATACACCAGTACAAAATCACAAAATCGTATGCATGACCTACATAATCAACAGGATTGATTAATTTAATGACTTTAGCAGTGGGTTTTAGTGTTGTTGCGAGACCGAGTAATGCAGTCTGACTGCTGTATGGTGTACAAGTAAACAGGAAGCATGTGGGGGACCATAATCTGACAAATGGGCCAGAGATACCCTGAATAAAAGAACTAAACTAACCACAACATAACATTCATGATAAAAATTAATTAATGACAAATTTAAGTTCACTTAAAATGGACACTCAACTGAATACCAACAGCAAATAAACATTTCAAAATAACAAGAACAGTTACTGCTTAGAATCATAAAAGCAAATGGGAGATGTTTGTAAAAGGTTGCATTTCCCAGTACAGTTAGTATTTTTACTGTAAGGACAGGAGACATAATTAAAGTCTATGGGAATAACTGACTAATTACATTAAGAACGATAGCAGACAATGGCTGCAATGGAATATAAAAACAAGAAGGATACTAAAGCTGCGATCAGTGATCTCCAGATTCCACAGGTTAATGCGCAGGTCATCTGCAGACAGGTAGGTCTCATAATCACTGTTGACTGAGATGGAGTTGATATGGTAGGTGTGAGCATTCGCAAACACTCGTCTAGGGCTGGCTTCAACCATCAAGTCCATGGGCCTGAATACTGGTACCTGAGGAGAGGAGCTGGGTTAGTATCAATAATGTAGGTAACACATACTGGTTATTGGACAAAGCTAGAAATATTCTATACGTTCCCAATTTTTGAGATGTTGCAGGTAGTTATAGGGGGAACAATAGGTTTTACTAATACTGCTGCAAACAGGAAGAGTTAACGGTCTTTTAAACAAAGAAAGAAGGATTGAGCCTTTGTGTAACATGCTCTGTTGAACTGAGTCTATATTTGGAAAGTATTCAATAAATATAGATCAGTGTTTCCTAAAGCAGAGGATGCATGTGACTGGGGGAGAAAAATGTGCAGTGAGACTAAAGTTAAACAGACCTTTTTCAGAGCTGGCACTTGGTGTAACTAATAACATGAATTGCTGCACTGCAGGAATGGCTTGATAATGTTGTTAGTTACACCTGTGCTTTTGCTGGTGAGACATTGAGTCAATGTGCCTGCATGAATCAAAAACAACTGACAGCTCACAGTGAGAAGTGGTCATACAATATGTTTTTATTTTAACTAATTCAAATTTAACTTAATAAGCACTAATGAGTGCAATACAATTGGTCTGAATTATATAGACACTTAAAAAGGTCCAGTGTGTAAGATTTAGTGGCATCAAGCAACCTAAATGTCACACACTGGGCCTTTAATTAAAGCCATTATAACAAACGTTCATTTTGTGTTGTGATTCTGTGGCCAAGTGTTTGTTTCCACTGCTTTGTTTAATTTTATTTCAAGAGGTATCCGACCTGGCAGGCCTTAAGAATCAACACTTAGAAATTGCCAATCTTCTCACTGATGGTCTTTCTTGTTTATGTAAGGTCAGTTAGGAGGCAAACACCGATACAGGTCCGACTTGTATTTGTCCTTGTGGGTAAGAGCAAGCTGTACAAGAGCTGGGGATTCAAGTCAATTCAAACAAAGCTAATATTTTAACTTTAATTATACATGATTTATTCAGTTAGAAATATAATGGAAAGTACAGAACCCCAACTGCAGCTTACAATTACAAATCTAACCGGTTGGAAATATTGGATTATATATTATACTATATATTATATATATAATTATAAAACATATATATATATTAGGAGTCATAAATATAGGTACTATATATAGTATATATAATATATATAGTGTAGTTATATATAGTATACTAT